CCCTCTCCCCGCCCCCGCCCCACCCCATCGACCCTCAGTTTTTTCTCTGTATTTAAGAGTCTCTTATCATTTGCCTCCCTCCTTCCCTCTCTGTTTATAACTATTTTTTTCCCCTTTCCCTCCCCCATGGTCTTCTGTGAAGTTTCTCAAGTTCCACATATGAGTGAAAACAAGATATCTGTCCTTCTCTGACTGACTTATTTCACTCAGCCTAATACCTTCCAGTTCCGGGGCACCTGGGTGGCTCAGTCGGTTGAACGTCTGACTTTGGCTCAGGTCATGATCTCGAGGTCTGGTCCATGAGTTCGAGCCCCATGTCAGGCTCTGTGCTGACAGCTCGGAGCCTGGAGCCTACTTTGGATTCTGTGTCCCCCTCTCCCTCTGCTTCAACTCCGCTCACACTATCTCTGTCTCTCAAAAATGAATAAACGTTAAAAAAAAATTAAAAAATAATACCTTCCAGTTCCATCCGTGTTGTTGCAAATGGCATGATTTCATTCTTTCTCACTGCCAAGTAGTGTTCCATTGTATATATAAACCAGATCCTCTTTATCCATTCGTCAGTTGATGGACATTTGAGCTCTTTCCGTAATTTGGCTATTGTTGATAGTGCTGCTATAAACATTGGGGCACACGTGTCCCTATGCATCAGCACTCCTGTATCCTTTGGATAAATTCCTAGTAGTGTTATTCCTGGGTTGTAGGGGAGTTCTATTTTTAATTTTTCGAGGAACCTCCACCAGTTTGCAGAGCAGCTGCACCTGTTTGCATTCCCACCAACAGTGCAAGAGGGTTCCCATTTCTCCGCATCCTCGCCAACATCTGTAGTTTCCCGAGTGTTAATTTTAGCCACTCTGACCTGCGCGAGGTGGTATCTCAGTGTGGTTTTGACTTGTAAATTTGCTCACAAGGTTAAGGCATTATACTTCATATGAACTTGGGTTCAACTGTAACACCGCTAAGTGGTGACAGATGTCAGCCACACGTGTGGTGAGCACAGCATGCTGTATAGACTTGTCGAGTCACCATGTTGTACGCCTGAAACTCATGTAACATTGTGTGTCGACCCTACTTCAATAAAAATTAATTAATTAATAAAAACAAAATCGCAAATGTAAATCAATTACTCAGTTACATAGTTCAGATCAGAACCACAACGTTACCCATTACTTTAAAAGGCTAGATGTCTCAAATAATACATATATGTGAGCAAAAATTACTGATACCTTGAGCACGCCTACTCTGAATTCCTTCTCTCTCCAGGATTGAAAACGTAGCCACCAAGGACCCAGTTATGTCATCTCAATTCCAGCTGTTTTCTAGGGCACCTTCTCCACCAGCTAAGGTTGCTTAGGGACCAGAAACATCACTGAGACGTTAACTGCTGGTCCCTACCCAGGTCCCTTCACCTGCTTTGTCGACGTCCTCTAAAAGGCTGGTCTCATAGCCCATGTCCCTAGATTCGACTTGCACAGCGATATCGCCTAAGTCTTCCCTTTACTGTAACCCTAGCACTTGCTTTGATGTTGCGTTGCTTTTTGCTCTTAAGACCTTTAAGTGTCTTTCTGTTTGGGTGTAAAGAGTTTTAACCTTATTGAAATTCTGTATTCTTTTCATATTCTTTGAATTTGCAGGAGTAGAAACATGTTAAAACCCCATATAATATCCAAAGTGAAGTCAAAAAATATAATCGTGTAAAACGCAGGGTCACCTTCGTTGCAAAGTTAATGAAGGGCTGGTTGGGGGCTGGCAGTGAGCCTGTGCAGCAGAACGTGGGACAGTGGCTACAGGATCCAAATTGCAGCCCACGCTGGGGTTTGATGCTCTCTGGGGGCAATGCCCAGGAGATGGGCAATTCTGGCACCCATGGCCAGCTGGACTCTTGGGACAGTAGCAGGGATTCCAGAAATGTTCCAGTCGTTTGTCCACATTTGCTGGCCTGGCCCAAGGACACTGAGAAACTGGAGATACCAAAGCCAACCTGCCTCTTCCCTGATTCCCAACACGAGGTGCCTTTTTGTCCACAGCTCAGGGAGAAGATTCGCCTTCCCTCTGTGCAGATAGGGACTGAGTGAGTACAGGACCTTTGCCAACTGCATTATATCAAAATTCACATTCTTTTAGGTTTTACGGTTCTTAAATGCTAATACTTCAGTTGGATTCTACGTGTCACAAGACCGTGTCCACCTGTGTCCACACTACAAAGAAGGTTATTTCAATGACATTTCCCTTGCTAAACCTCAGTTTTTTCAACTCTAAAGTGAGGATAATAAGAGTACCAACTAAGGGCGCCTGGGTGCCTCAGTCGGTTAAGTGTCCTACTCTTGATTTCGGCTCAGGTCATGATCTCACAGTTCATGGGATCGAGCCCCTGTGTCAGGCTCTGGGCTGACAGCACAACCACATAGGGTTGATTTGAGGAGCAAAAGAAAATATATGTAAAGCACGAAGCGTCACTCATCGTTGCTATTCAATACAGGTTAGTGACGAGTCTTATTATTATCAGTATCTTGGAACCCTCTCCCGCCTTTGCCCTCTCCTCCCACTCAGACTGGCTGCCCTCTTGCTCTTACCCAGGCTCCTTAATAGCCCCCTACCTGTGCTTTCACTGCAGTCCCCTCCCTTCCATGCCCTCCCCCCGCTGCTGGACCAAGTTTCCAAAAGGTCTTTGAATAACCCTGCACACCTGCTTAAAAATACCTGTTGGATGCTCTTTGCCTTTAGTCTGACGTCCTGCTCCATTCAGGCTGCTCTTAACAATAACACCATAGACTGTGTGGCTTATAAACAGCTGAACTTTTCTTCTGACAGTTCCCAGAGGCTGGGAAGTTGAGGGACCAAGGCACCAGCAGATTCGGTATCTGGTGAGGACCCACTTCCTGCTTCAGAGACGGCCATCTTTCCCATTGCCATGTCGCATGGAGGGAGGGGTGAGGGCGAGCTCTGGGGCCACTTCCACAAGGACACTAATTCTGTTCACTAGGGTTCTACCCTCATGACCTAATCACCTCCCAAAGGTCCCGCCTCCTAATATTATTTCGTTGGAGATAAGACTTCAACATATAAATTTGGGGGGGAGGGGGGGACACAAACATTGAGTCCATGACACCTGGGTTATAAGACCCTTTATCCGGGCTTCTTGTGGAAACATCTGGCCACATGCCCTGCAGTTCTCTCTGGACAATCATGCTGTAGCCACAGGGCCAGGACTAGAGTGAGGCAAGAGAGGTGCCTGCTGCACAGAATTAAGGAGGCCCTGACTCTCAGGCTTGTGCAGCATGAAACTCTGAAGACGCCCTCTGATAGGAGATGCCTGCCATCCAACTTGTCCCCTCTCTCCCCCCTTCCTCCCAGACTTCCTGGGTTCAAGCTCTTACTTAACTATAAAACTCAAAGTAAGCTAATTACCCTCGTTGTACCTCAGTCTCCTCATCTATAAAATGGGGGTGACAAAAAATACCTGTCTCATAAAGCGGTCGTGAGGGCTAAACGGATCCGTGCATGTCAAGTCTTACGAGAGGGTCTCACGCCTGACAGGTACTCACTGGATGTCACCGGAAACGACCCGTGCCCGCTTCCTGAAGTTTTCTTTCCAGGTCCTCTCATGCTACGGCCTTGTAGCAGCTGTCAGCGCAGAGCCTGCTGGGGATTCTCTCGTTCTCTCTCTGCCCCTCCCCCACCCGCTCTTTCTGTCTCTCTTTCAAAATAAATAAATGAATAAACAAACTTGAAAGAGGACATGTTTTAAAAATCAACAGGGATATAAGGGAACTCAAAACAGAATACAAACAGTAAAAAAATCAAATTTCAGGGGCGTCTGGGTGGCTCAGTCGGTTAAGCCACCAACTCTTGATTTCAGCTCAGGTCTCGAGCTCCCAGTCTGTGAGCCGGAGCCCTGCATCGACAGTGCCGTGCCCGCTCTGGATTCTCTTCTGTCTCCAGTTTCCCTCCAGTCTCTCCCCCCGCCCCTCCCTCTCCATCAATGTACTTAAAAAAATTAAAAGTCTCTCCGTTGTATGTGACTTGAAGCCAATGCAAACTGGCTTAAGCAAAACCGTGAATTCATTGGACCATATTTGTTATCGACTGTTGTGTAACAAACTACAGAACTCAGCAGCTGAAAGTAAGCATCTTGTATCTCACAATTTCTGTGGATCGGCAATCCGGGCACGGCTTAGCTGGTGCCTCCGGCTCGGGATCCCTCACTGGTCAAGGTGTCCTCCCGGGGCCAGTACCACCCGCCTCACCCCTGTAGCTCTTGGCAGCCTCGAGTCCCCATGATCTGTTCGCAAAGACATCACTTCCTCGTTGGGTTTTGGCTGGTGGTCTCCCTGGCTCCTTGTCTTGAAGTCTTTCGCTCACAGCATAGTACCCGGCTCCTCAAAAAGAGCTGGGAGTTGGAAAGAGAGAGGGAGACGGAGGGAGAGAAAGAGACCGAGATGAAAACGCAACCTTCCAGAACCTAATCTCAGAAATGACAGCTTATTACTGCTGCCACATTCTACTCACGAGCAGTAAGCCACTCCACCCAGCCCACACTCAAGAAGACGTGATTACAGGGCGCCTGGCTGGCTCAGTCAGTAGAACATGCGACCCTTGATCTCCTGGTTATGAGTCGAGCCCCACAGTGGGTGTAGAGATGACTTAAAATCTTAAAATAAAAAAAAGAGGTGATTACACACGGGCACGATTACCAGGAGGTGGAGATATTGAGGGGCCACCTTTAGGGCCGAGTTTAGAACCCAAGTTTCCTGATGCTGAAGAAGGTGATTCCCCCCATGGATGTGCAAATCCCACGAAGGCCCTGAAAAGACGTGGGACCCCCTACCCCAGCCTGAGCATGTGGGAGGAGTCTGTGGTACCAGATATAAATAACCCTCCCTGGGACACAGACACACACACACACACACACACACACGCGCGCGCGTGCGCGCGTGCACAAGCAGGGAAGCTGTGGTAAGCACTTCCTCTTTCAGCCTGAGGTCTGAGAGAAGATCATCATGGCGGGTCCAAAGAAACACCCAGATGACTGGGTGCTACGGTCCTTCTCCAGGAAACCACAGAAGAGTCAGCCGCACGTATTCTCTCCCTTACTGTGGACACATCTCCTCTTCCTGCTCGTGGGTAAGTCCACATTGCGGCCACCACCGCTTGCTCGTGGTGTCCCTCTGGGGCCGGTCACATTCTTTGCCGGTAAACTCAGGAAACTCTTCTCTTCGTGGTCATTCTGCGGGTTCCACCTCATTCCCAGCTGTGTCTCCGTGTGTGAGTGCGTGCACAGTCACTCACCATGAGTAGATGGCATCCTAGCCCCAGTCTCGTAAACAAGTCTGGGCTCAGACTGTGTTCCTCTCGCCCTCACGTTTTCCTGCTGAGAAATGCTGAGTGGTGAGTTTGCTCCCCACACGGTGTGGATAGAATGCACGGAGAGATACGGAAGTTTCCCCTGATGACTAGCCACCCCCCTTTCTTCGGGACACATAGAACTCCTGGAACTTCTTTCTACGTTCTGCCATGTTTACCTTCTATCCCAAACTTCAGGCTTCCCTGGGGATCTGGAGATGGTCTGGTGGCACTGGGCCTGATGGCTGCTCTCTGAGTGTCCTTTTCTCCTCACATCCTACCTCCCCATCAAGGCCCAAGTCCTGCAAGTTTCTGGGAAACGTCTCTCGGCAGCATGGCCAGCAGGCAGAGCTGACCCACTACCCCAGGGAATGTCTCAGCCACCCGGTGTGGTGGCATCTACTGTCCCCTGGTAATCCTATTTTCCCCAGGGCCTTGGAGCACGGTACAGTAACATAGGGACCCGAAAAGTAGTGGGAACAGGAGGGGTAGGCAGTGAGGGGAGTTCTAGAAGAACTCCCAGATGCATGTATGGAAGAGAGGGGCCTAGATTCCAGGGCTGAGGTCAAGTCTGAACTCTCCTCATTTTCCATTTTCATCATTGCTCACCGTAAAAACATCGGAAGCATCGTGGCTCTTTATATCCACACCCAACTTTTGGGGTGCTTCTTGGTTGTGTTGGATAAACCCGAAATTAGCCAATGCAATGTCACCCAAGCCTCAGGTGACCAACAAGTCAATTTCCAGGCAGAGAGGCATCTCCCTCTGTCTAGCTCCACCAGACGGGATAACCTCAAACTTCCCTGTTTTGGTCTAGCAGGGAGTTACCTTGATGCTTCTGTGGATCCAAGGAGTGGTTTCAGGAACTTAGGAGACAGTAGGGTGAAAAGTCCTTCCGTTTTAGTGTGTCAGGGAGCAGAACGTCCTGTCCCCTGTTTGGAGAGTAAGGATTCCTGTCCCCTTCAAGGTCCTTCCAGCTGGACTAAGAATCCAATTGACACGAGACAGATTAACAGGAGAAAATACAACTTAATAGTGTATGTATGGGGAATCCACACAGACACGGAATTTCAAAGACAGGCAAAATGAGGTCTGTATGTCATCCCAAACTAAGGAGAAGGGGGCAGGGGTCTGGGACTTCCGAGGGGAGGCGAGTAGTTCACAGGGCGACAAAGAGAACAGATGTTTGGTAATTAGATGTTCGCCGTGCCATACAGATGGGTCACGCAGATCAGATTTATTTCTGTTCATAACCCTTATCCTGGGAAAGACCCCAACTTAGAGTCTTCTATGTAGTGAAGGGAGGGGCAAAGTTCCTCTTGAGCCCACACGGTCTCGATCGCCTTCAGCTCAGAATAACCTTCATGCCAAAGTGGCTTACCTTGGGCCAGTCGGAAACATTTGAAATTAAATCCTTGTTCCATTACTTCCGAGCTGTATGAGTCTCTGCGTCCTACGTAGAGAATGTGATTCGTAAATTGGATCATGCAAGACTCTCTCAATAGATTAAAAATGATACATGTCAGTGCTCGGTACCTAGTTGGTAGAAGCTGATTGTTATAATGATCACTAAGTGGCTTATTTGGAAACTAGTAAAGGCAGAGAAGCCAAATTCAGTTATCACGACCGTTGAATGCCGTTTGACGATTTGCCACAATAATAGTTCAAAATAAGTAGTTCGAAATAAGGTGGCTGATACCTGTTATGTAGCATTGTTTGCTTCACCAGGTAACAGGGTTTGACCGACACGAACCGCCTCCTGCTCCCCTTGCTGACAGTCTGGGGACCTTTGCTGATCTTTGATGTGAAGAGAGAGCTGACCGACCCTGTCGTCTCAAGCAAATAGTTAAAACGCTTGAAATTTTAGCTCCTCATCTGTGAACAAAAAGGTGGGGGGGGGGGGTGGCTAGTCACCAGGTAATTTTGAGGATTGAACGAGGTGATTTCTCCATGACGTAGCAATCGCCAGCATCTTCCAGATGAGAAGAGCTCTCTGTAAGGCAACTTCAAGCCAGCATCGAAACCAATCAAGTTTCTCCCTTCTGACTACCCCCCAGAATTCACCTGAAGTGACCTAGCCTAGCTTGTCCAAGGTCCCTAGCTCTGCGTCCTTCTAGCTGCCTCTCCACAAGGTCCAAGTGCTTGGATGATGATGGATAGAGAACCCTCCACACACACACCTGATCTGCACCAGTCTGGGAGTCTCTTCTCTGTATCTGCATAATTCTGTACCTTCTGGGTATTCAGAGCATGTCTCAGCCTTTTTCCATCAGTCCAGGCTGTACCTGGGCCTTTCCTCTCTCTCTCTCTCTCTCTCTCTAACATTTTTTACTTATTTTTCCGCCCAGATTCCTGGAGTAATCTGGGGCCTGAACCCATCTGATCTAGTCCGGAGTTTTCAGAGGACTCTCCAGAGCCTCAGAAGTCCTTGAATCTGGGGATCCAGGCTGGGGTCACCCAGCCGACATTCCCAGGGCCCCTACAAGGAAATGAGCTGCCTCGGACAGATGCCGGGCCTCTGGAAGCCGCGGTAACAATGTTTATCGGGGATCTTGGTCTCTCCTGAGATGAGGCAATTAGGAGAGGATTCGACGCTACTTACTGTCCCGAACCCCAAACCTTGCTCCTAAGGACAGACCAGATTTCCCCGGCCAAGGCAAAGCCAGTCTGAGATCCCCTGGGCCATGAGGGAAAGGAAGAGTGAGACAGATGCTCCGTTTGTTGCTAACATCTTATTATGAAAATTCTTGAGCCCAGAGAAAGCTTGAAAGAATTTTACACTAACACTCAGATGCTTCCCACCCTGGACCTGCCATCACTTGGATTTCACTCGCCTTCTCACACACCTGTCCATCTATCCACGCTGTTAGGCATCCATCTCGCCATCTAATTTTTAAAAAGGTGCTCCTTTTTTTTTTTTTACCTCTTTTGGTCTTTATGATTTACAGCAACGTGATTTTATTCCAACCCTACCATCTCTATTCATTCACACCCATAACGAACATTTCTGTCCTATAGATGAGTAAACTGATTCTCAAAGAAATTCAAAAATTCACCCAAAGTCACAAGGCTAGTTTCCCTGCTGGGACAGAGACCTAGAATGTCTGTTTCACTGATTGTTGTAGATGCATTCATGGGAGAAAGTGAATGAAAGTTAATTTGGGGAATGAATGAATGATTTTGTTAGGCAACAAGCCTAGAGGAAGGAGGGCTGGCATTTTATTTCATTTCTCATCATCTGGGATTTATTCCCACTATGTTTTTATTGAATGAGTGAATGAATGAATGAATGAATGAATGAAGGCTGACTTGAAGGGTCCAACTGCTCCTCCACTCCCTCTTCTGTCGCTGTAGGACTAGAAGCCTCTGGAAAGGACTCACCCCCAACAGTGGTGCCAGGGATTCTAGGGGGTTCGGTGACTTTCTCCCTGAACATTTCAGTGGACACAGAGATTGAGCACGTCACCTGGAATGGTCCCCAAAATGCTCTTGCTTTAGCAGTCACAGAAACACAAGTTATCATTATGGACAAAAGCTACCAGAACCGACTGAACATCAGCTGGAACTATTCCTTGTCTATCAGCAACCTGACTTTGAAAGACGCAGGATCCTACAAAGCCCAGATAAACCGCAAGAATTCTAAAGTCACCGCTGATGAGGAATTCATCCTGCGTGTCTATGGTGAGTTCTAGAGGGCTTCTGTGGGTTTTGATCTTTTGGGATTTTTTTTATGTTTATTTCTTTATTTTTGACAGAGAGGGTAGCAGAGAGAGAGAGGGAGAGGGAGGGAGAATCCCAAGCAGGCTCCACGCTGTCAGCACAGAGCCTGACGCTGGGCTCGAACTCACAAACTGCGAGTGAGATCATGACCCGAGCCAAAATCAAGAATCAGACACTCAACCGACTGAGCCACTCAGGTGCCCCTAATCTTTTATTTTTAAAAGCAGATTTTTTTTTTCTCTCCAGCAGTTTATCCCTCGAGGACAGATAGGACTATCTTGTTGGTCACTTTCATCCGGTTCCATAAATATAGATGTCAGAGTGAAAACACAGACAAAATAGGTTTAAAAGCCATTTGTATTCTCTTTTCTGTAACCCTGTTATAATACCCTTTACCCATCTATACTAGCTTGCTAGGGCTGACATGACCAAATACCACAGACGGGGTGGTTTAAACAACGGAAACTTATTTTCTCACGGTTCTGGAGGCTGGAAGTTCAAACTCAAGATATCAGCAGGTTGGGTTTCTCCTGCGGCCTGGCTTCCAGGCTTGCCAATAACTACCCTCTCGACACGTCCTCACGCGGTCCTATCAAGAAAAGAGAAGTTAAAAAGTGTCCTTTTAAATAAATTGTTTACTGGTTAATGTAGAATCCATGTAAGTCACTCTTTATTTTTGGGTTTTTTATTTTAATTCCCGTATAGTTAACATACAGTGTTATATTAGTTTCAGGGTACGATATAGTGATTCAACACTTCTGTACGTTACTCAGTGCTCACCAATATGAGTGTCACCTGTTCCCTTTGTCCCCTTCACCTGTTTCACCCATTCCCCCACCACGCCTCCCTTCTGGTGACTAGCAATTTGTCCTGTAGGGCTGAGAGTCTGTTCCTTGGTTTCTAATTTCAACTTAATTCCTTCTTTATATTTTTTTTAAGTCTGTTTATGTATTTTGAGAGAGAGCGTGCGCGCTAGATGGGTGGGGGAGGGGCAGAGAGAGGAAGAGAGAGGGGAGAGAGAGAGGGAGAGAGAGGAAATCCCAAGCAGGCTCCGCCCTGTCAGTGCAGAGCTCAGTCCCACGAACCATCAGATCATGACCCGAGCAGAAATGAAGGGTAGGACACCCAACTGACTGAGCCACCCGGGCGCCCCTCCTTAATTATCTCTTGAAAGGCTCTGTCTCCGAATTCAGTCACATTCTGAGGTACCGGGGATCAGGACTTCAACATATGAATTTTGAAGGGACACGATTCAGTTCATAACAGTCTGCCCTCCGGCCCCTCCAAAACTCACTTCCTTCTCATATGCGAAATACATTCATGCCATCTCAGCAGACACCCCACTATCAATTCTACGTCCAAAAGCTTATCTAGATATCATCTAAAGCATTATGGGTGAGACTTGAGATGTAATTGGTCTTGAGGCAAAATTCCCCCCGGGCTGTGAAGCTGTAAAACCAGACAAGTTATCTGTCTCCATACTGGGATGGTAGGATAGGCATAGGATAGACATTCTTATTCCAAAAGGGAGCAATAGAAAAGAAGAGAGCGGCCATGGACCCCAAGGAAGTCTGCGATCTAGCAGGCCAAATTCCATTAAATTTTAACCTTTAAGAACAATTTTATTTGGCCCTATGCTCTATCCTCTGGGCCCCCTGGGTGGCCGCCCCCCCGCCCCCTCCTTGGCCCTGGGCAGCAACCCTGACCCCTGGAACCAAGAAGGAAATCGCCCCACCAACGGCCCCTGGGTCTGGGCCCTCTAGGCCGGGGGGGGGGGGGGGCAAAGGCAGTGGCAGCCCTATCCATCTCTGAACTGCTCTTGGGCATTGGGCATATTCTTCCCTCTTCTCGAAGGATAAGGCATGATCTCAACTGAGTAGCTCTATTGGCCCATCCTGTAGAATCCCACAAGTGTGACAGCGTTTCTTAATTTTGTCCCACCTCTGTCCCTTCAGTCCAGGCTGGAAACACTTCTGCTGATAGAGTTGACTAAATCCATGAGTCACACTGTAATCTCTTCAGCAAATGTTGTCTAGCCACACCTTATAGGCTGAGAATTTTCTAAATCTTCAAGTTCTGGTTCCTTCTTTCTCAACACTTCCTTCTTCAATTTATGGCCCTCCTCTAAAATTTTACGACAAGCAGAAAGGAAAAACCACATAGTGCCCTCAATACTTTGCTTAGAGATCTCTTTAGCGAAATACTCAAATTTATCATTTAAATGTGCCGCTTTCTTTTTTTAAAGTTTGTTTCCTAAATTTTTTTTAAGTTTATTTCTTTCGAGAGAGAGAGAGAGTGTGCATGTGTGAGCCGGGGAGGGGCAGAGAGAGAGAAAGGGAGAGAGAGAATCCCAAGCAGGCTCTGCACCGTCAACGCAGAGCCCGACCCAGGGCTCAAACCCACAAATCATGACATCATGACCTGAGCTGAAATCAAGAGTTGGATGCTTAACCAATGGAGCCACCCAGGCACCCCTGAATCTGCTACTTTCTACAAAACACTGGAACGCAATTTTTCTAAATTCTTCACCACTCTGTGACGAGTGGGTCACTTCCTCTAGTGTCCAATAACATGTTCCTCGGTTACATCTCATACCTCGCCAGAAACACCTGTAGGGTTCATATTTCTACCAATATTCTGCTCATGATAATACCCTGTGTGACTCTAGGATAACGGAAGCTTCTTCTTCAGCTCTCCTCTCTTCTTTCTGAGCCCTTACCAGAACCAACTTTAACATCCATATTTCTACAGTCTCTTGAGGACAGTCTAGGCTTTTTCTAACACATGCTTCAAAACCCTCTAGACCTGTAGCCATTAGCCAAGTCCAAAGCCACTTCCACATTTTTCGGTGTTTGTTACAGCAGCAACCCATTTCTGGTACCAAAATCCATACTGGTTTGCTAAGGCTGCCATAACCAAGTACCACAGACAGTAACTTTAACAACAGAAGTTTACTTTCTCGCAGCTCTGGAGACCAGTCAAGATGTCGGCAGGTTGGGTTTCCTCCAAAGCCTCTCCCTTTGGCTTGCAAATAGCCACCTTCTCTCTCTGGGTTCTCACACGGTTGTCATTCTGTCCGTGTTGTCTGTGTCCCAGTCTCCTCTTCTTAAAAATTTGTTAATGTCTTTATTTTATTTCTGCGAGAGAGAGAGACAGAGAGCGAGCGGGGGAGGGGCAGAGAGAGAGGAGGACACAGAATCCGAAGCAGGCTCCAGGCTCTGAGCCATCAGCACAGAGCCCGACGCGGGGCTCGAACTCACAGACCGCGAGATGGTGACCTGAGCCGAAGTCAGACGCTTAACTGACTGAGCCACTCAGTTGCCCCCTCTTCGTGTAAGGACACCAGTCATATTGGGTTAGGGACCATTCTAATGACCTCATTTTAATTTAATGACTTCTCTCTCCAAACACAGTCCTATATCCATATAAAAACATATTCTTAGGTACTTGGAGTCAGGGCTTTAACATCTGAACTTTGGGAAGACACAATTCAGCCTATGACACCATCTTTCTATCAGGTAGGTTTTTTTAATTGATTTGTAGAGGGCTCCGCATATATTAAAGAAATGGAATTCTATGCTGCGAATAGAAATAGACTGAATCAACTCTATTGAATCAATGATCGATTCTATAATGAATCAATGTGCACCGACATACAATTCCCAAGATATAGTGTTAATTTTTTTTTAATTCCAGCATAGTTAGCATCCACTGTTATATTAGTTTCAGTGATTCAGCAGTGATTCAACACTTCATACAGCACCCAGTGCTCATCACATGTGTAGCCTTTTTTAAATGTTCATTTATTTACTTATTTTTGAGAGAGAGAGCACACATGAGTGGAGGAATGGACGGGAGAAAGGGGGTCAGAGGTTCTGAAGGGGGCTCTGCACTGAGAGCGGTGAGCCTGATGTGGGCTCGAACTCACAAACCATGAGATCATGACCTGAGCCAGTCAGATGATCAACCGACTGAGCCACCCAGACACCCTCATCATAAGTGTACTCTTAATCCCCTTCACTTAGTTCATCCATCGCCTACCCACCTCCCCTCTGGCCAGCCATCAGTGTGTTCTCTGTAGTTAAGCATCTTTTTTTGTTGGTTTTTTTTTTTCTTTGTTCATTCTGTTTCTTAATTTCCACATATGAGTGAGATCATATAGTATTTGTTTTCCTCTGACTGACTTATTTCACTTAGCTAAATACTCTCTAGAGCCATCTATTGTTACAAATGGCAAGATTTCATTTGTTCTTATGGCTGAATAATATTCACTTATATATACCATATCTTCTTTATCCATTCATCAACCGATAGACACTTGGGCTGTTTCCATAATTTGGCTACTGTAGATAATGCTGCAACAAACGTAGAGGTGCATATATCTTTTCAAATTAGTGTTTTCATATTCTTTGGGTAAATACCCAGTTGTGGAATTACCGGATCATATGTTAGTTCTATTTTTAATTTTCTGAGGAACCTCCATACTGTTTTCTGCAGTGGCTGCACAAGTTTGCATTCCCACCAACAGTGCACAAGGTTCCTTTTTCTCCACATCCTTACCAACACTTGTTTCTTGTGTTTTTTTGTTTTAGCTATTCTGGCAAGTATGATATGATGTCTCATTGTAGTTTTGATTTGCATTTCCCTGATGATGAGTGATGATGACCAACTTTTCTTTCTTTTTTTTTTTTTTTTTTATCTATTTATTCTGAGACAGAAAGACAGAGAGAGAGACAGAGAAAGAGAGAATGAGCAGGGGAGGGGAAGAGGAGGAAGAGAGAGGATCCCAAACAGGCTCTGCATGGTCAGCAGAGCCATAAGATCATGAGAGTCAAAATCAAGAGTCGGTCGCTTAAACAGCTGAGCCACCCAGACGTCCCAAATATCTTTTCATGTGTCTGTTGGCGTCTGGATGTCTTCTTTGGAGAAATGTCTGTTCATGTCTTCTGTCCATTTTTTAA